CGGGGGGGGGGGGGGGGTGTATGTTAAAATAGTCAAGATGGCAGTTGCAATTGAAGCCCCACCCTTTGTACATTCATGCAACATTGGCTTAAATACAGAAGGAGCGAGGCTTCAATCACACAATTGTGATTGCCATCTTGACTTTTTTGCTCTCCCCCATAGACACCCCTGTATGTCTATGAGTATACTTTCTCTCTTTTTCCTCTCTGATCCTAACATCTTTTCATTGGCATCAGACGATGCTCTTTTGCTAGTATTTGCATTATTATTATGCGCCATGTTGTAATTATTGCTTATACACAGCAATTCCCAGCTTTATAGAATATCTGATCATTATTCAATAATAGATAGCAATAGGTAAATTGATTTGATCAGTTATTTAACGGCCCTAACCTTGCTTTCCATACAATATGTAATATGTTATTTGAACTTCACGTTCATGTTCAGAAAGAGTGTCACTCGACATGACCCCAAAAGAGAATTATTTAGTTTCCTATGATCTGATTCCAGCATTTCCAAGGTTAACCAAAAATATAGAGCACTAATAATTTTTATTAATTATTTCTTTAGAAAGATGAATAAAAAACAGCTGTTTCAAATCAGCCACATTTACTTAATTTTTTTTTTTTAAAAAAAATGGCTTTCTAGATTTACTTGACCAGCACTTGAACTCAGGAAGATAAAAGTACTGTTTCTTATGGTTTGTTATTCCTAGGAGCTGTTATCTTTTTTCCCTTATCTCTGAAAAATTAAACAGTATTCCAAGATTTTGGTTGAATTATCTCAGGTTGTTGTTAAATCAAACTTAATAATTATCTTCAGGTTACTGAAATAACATTCCATTTGTATGGAGAAATGACTAACTCTCTGTACAACCTTATCTAAAATAATATTTGGTTGTCTTACAGTAGAGTACAAGTGAAGAATAATTATGGCCATAGTTATTTTTACTCATTACATTTCTGATAGCATAATTGTGCTTGCTTTTAGCACCCAATTTTTTAATCTATATCTAATAAAAAATACATGGGTGTTAGTGTTTTAGATCCAAACTTTAGAGTTGGATCCATAGAACCACAAAGTATAGAAGAAAAATAGCTACCAGTTGTATTCCATAATTTCTTAAGAAGATATTGTTTGCATACCTTATAACAATTTGCATAGCTTATCCCAAAGCATATACTATCATAAATACAAATACAGTTAGAATAATTCATAGGTTTGCTCAAAGAGGAAACCTAATTATATGAAGTGATATATACAGATATATCAACAACTCAAACTATGATGAAAGAACAAGCTTACTTATTTCAGATTCCAAGTAGTTTTTCATAACGGTGTATTTGTTTAATTGAATTATATAATACTTTTTAACCTAACTGCCCATATTGGTTGAAAAATCTGTAAAGTGTAACAGTTCCTTTACACTTACACTAAAGGAATCCAGTGTACTTGGAATAGGGGGATATAACTAGCAAAGTTCTTCCATCTTGAATATAAAATTTATAAGGATCAGTAACACTGCATTCCTAAAGTTATTTTTATATCAGATGACTGTCTTCTGTTTATCAATATTAAAAAGTCATTTTATCCCCTGGATTCAGTAATTAAATGTGGTCTTGTGTACTGCTGGATATAGAAGTTGTTTAGGGACTAATACCTTAAAGTTGACTGAACAGATTACTTATAATTACTATTTCCAAATGTTACAATACCAATGTATTCCTCAAGTCAGTAAGCAGTCTTATATAAATTAAATGCATATAATAAAAGTGTTGTCAGTATGAAACCCTGGATGAATTTCTGAACAAAAATGTTATTACCATGTGGATTTAAAAAAACCTTTAATTCTTTACGTGTTCTTTACTGCCAAAATACTGTGGAGGAATATTGCTAACATTGTTACTAATATTTGATTATTACTAAATCATGATCTGTTCAGTATCATGGCAGATGATACACCCTAAACAATTTAATATTTGTACCAACCCTTGGTATTAAATATTAAAAACAAAATAGAGAGTAGTATCTAGCAGACATATAAAAAGATTAGACCTATGAGTTGTATAGCTCTTTTGAAAATCAATCATAAGATATTATTTAAAAGTAAATAAATATTGAAATTTACCTCCTTTTCAAAACACCTACTACTTGGATGATTTTTGTTGGTCATTCAGATTGTATCTTTACCACAAACATTCTAAATGTTGAAAGTTCCACAACTGAATCTTGAACTCGGTTTGAAGATTCTGGCCTAAGTGATTTAATTCAGTGCATTTAAATACTCTGTAAGATGCCTGTTTCAGCTCTTAGAGGCAAATCCAAGATTCCAGCAAATCTAAAGCATTGATATAACATGACCTGGAGAAGTTGCTTTACTGCAAACAAGTTGTACCCTTAGGGTTCTAAAAGACTTCTATATTGACCATTCATCGAATGGGTTGGATGTGGAAGCTGAATCAGAGAATCACCATGTGTTATGTTCAGATTATAGAACTTTGTTTAAGTGCTGTTGCATCTACTTTGAGGTCTAGCTCTTGTCCATTAAATACAAACTATGTGAAAAACAATATAAAGTGTTCTCTTAGGTATTCTTTAATATAAACTGGATGTATGCATTCTTCTGTAATAATTTCTAATACAGTTGTGGACAAGCCAGTTTTTGGTTGGCTTGAGTTTTTCTTTTGCATTTAAACCTTTAGCCACATTAGGTTTATGCCGTGTGTGTTTATCCTGGCCATTTGTTTCCAAAGGCAACTAATGGTTTGTTTTTCTTCTGTATTTGACAGCCCAATGGTAGCAGCCAAGGCAAGGTGCACAATCCATTCCTTCCAACCCCAATGTTGCCACCACCACCTCCTCCCCCAATGGCTAGGCCTGTGCCTCTTCCAGTGCCAGACACAAAGCCTCCAACCACGTCGACAGAAGGAGGTGCCGCCTCTCCTACATCACCGAGTAAGTACAGCCAGAAGGAGGAAACAAGAGGCTGACATGGGTTTGAAACAGATTTATGTTTTTTATAGATCTGTAAAGTGAATTCTAGATGAAATAAAAACATTCATGTCATTAAGTGCATCAACAGATGATTTACTGAAAAAAAATACCTTGCAATAAACAGTGGAAGATTTCTGCAAAATAGCAACTTTTTTGAGGGGGAGAAAAGTTGCAAGCGATATAATATACATGTCTGGTTCTTATTAGTATCACAAGCCTTCAATTAGAAGTGTATAAAAATTCTTCCTTGTCAAAATTCGTCATTGTTTTATAATTTTCAAAAATGCACGAACTTCTCATGCCCAATTTTTCTAATATTTTATACTGATCCTTCCCTGATAAACACACTTTGGTATACAACTTTTTTTCTCCTAAAGCTGTGCATTTTAGGAGGCACTTTTTGAAAGCTACACATCTTTGATTCTGCTGCGCTCAGAATGCATCTCTGATCTGATGGTCACATTGGCATAATGCTTTGCAGTTTCCAAAAGGGAGAGGAAATCTCTTGGAAATTTGTGGTCTTTATTTTGACTTCGACAGCCACAAGAGGATGAAAATCCCATTGACACTGAATGCATATCATCAGGCTGTAGAAAGGGATGAAACCAGTAATACGCAATTTCAACAGTATTGCAAAAGGTGGAAAAATATAAAGAGAATTTTTCATTAATTTAAAACTAGTCTTGAAGCATCTTAAAAAACACCAGCAACAACCAAAGACTTCTGAACAAAAATTCTAAGATCTCATTTTTGGGGCCCACCTAGTCTTACCTTGCTGTAGAAAAGGAATGTGATGACTCCACAGACAAGCTGCTATAGTGATTTGGTTGTTCTTTGGGTCTCCAGTAATATTCCTGTTTCTAGCTCATTGCAAAGAAGCCATTTTCAGTAGTGTAAAGCCAATTAATTAACACCTGAGAAAAGACATGAACTGCAGTCTTGTTTTGAAAGCCTAAGTCTTTCACATCCACATTGCACTGATGCTCTAATCTGTTTAGAGCCATATGTAGGAATAAAAATATTTCACATTTTTCACAAAACTACTTCTTTTTCTTCTCTGAAAGAGGTAAAAAACATGCTAATAAAAGGAAAGCTTAAAGAGCACTGATTGAATTAAGTACATGTCTTGATAATTTAAAAGGTAAAAGTCACTTTATTCCAAGACTATTAATGAAATGATAACTAGATGTAAAGGCTTATCAGTCTTTACTATCACTACTGCTAATGTTGGTAGTTTGTAGATTCAGCACATCACTTTACCTTACTTGTGCATGACAGATCATTTGGTTGAAATAAGACAATGCAATGAAATGCTTTCTAAATTCTAAATACTGTACTAAAAAAGAATGGTGTTATTCACTCTGATGGATAAAGGTAAAATAAAAGTACTGATCAAGGCAGTGCATGAAGAAAACATACATTCTGTTGCCCAAATTTTTCACATCCCTTATTTCTTCTTCTCCTGGCCTGAAACACAACAACTTGTATTCTTAACTGTCTCCCCTTCAATTCTTTTAGATTTCATCAAGTGTATTTCAAAACATAGGCCACATCTGCTGTGGGCCTGAAGCTTTGATTTAAACTAGATTAAATAAAACTGAAATGTCCTGATTGCTGGATTTGTTAATCTTCCCAGGGATTTATAACTTATATAGCTATGGAATCTGAAACAAGAGTGTAGGCAGTTTCACAGTTAGCCTCCTGAAAGCTGCAGATGGGAGCTTCCCATAATCACAAATGGGTGGTAAATTATTATTTGAAAAAATGAATGGTATGATGAATCTTGTGGGAGGACTATATTAAAGTAAGGTGAGCAGTTGAATTGGCTGGCTTTGGAGGGTTATCTTTCAGATTTGTTCTGTCAGGTTCTTGTTTGCATCTTAGTACAGCATCTGAAGAAGATTATTATCACCAATTATATAAGAATAGCAGACCTGTTTGTATCATACATGTCTTCCTCTTTGTAAAGACGAAAATGCATGCTATATTAGATGAATGCTGCCTGGGATTCTGCTTTGTTGACCATATTTCTTTGAGAGTAATAATTATTTCAGAAGAGCAAGAAATTTTAAGACTACCCTTTGTGCCATAGAAAATGAAAAACTAGTCACAAGTTACATGTTTTGGTATATTGAATTAGAATTTCTGGTTTTGGTGTTGTCAGCTCTAATACGTAACATCTCTAAAACATTACTAGTCCCCAGCTACATTATTTGGGACCACGCAACTGGAGATAATGTCAGTTACGTTTCAGATATTATTTGTGCAGAATAAAGGCTTTTTCACCTTTTGTGATACATATGAAACCCAGTTTGGAAGGGCAAATATATAAGAATTACAAGAACAAGAACAACTACTTATTTCAGAGCAGCATTTTTCATTTCTTAAGGACTACTCTAAAGTAAGTGGTTATTTGCTGATTTAAATATTGCCAAGTAGCAGTGAACCACTGCAGCATTCAGAGGTTGCTAAGAGATTCTGAAGTATCTTTCTTTCTTTTTATTCTGTCTGTATTTCTGTTGTTTGTTCATTATAAGCAATGTACTCTTCTACATCATGATCTCATAGGTATAGAATCTGTGGTTTTGTCTCCAAATAGAATCTGAAATGTATAGTAGGTAAATAAAGGATCGTTTAGATCAATGTTTTTCATACTTGGCAACTTTAAGATGTATGGGATTTGAAGATAAGAATTCTGGGAGTTGAAGTCCACACGTCTTAAAGTTGCCGAGTTCAGAAAACACTGATTTAGATGTATCAAAGTTGCTGCTAAGCTAATAACTGTGTTAGAGATGTTTTAGAACCATTCAGTCTGCATTTACTTTGAAATGGGACTGACTGCTGGCAATGGGACTGACAAAAAGATTAACAAATATAAACTTCAAGATTGACAAAATGTGTGCAAAATTAGATTTAATAATGTATAAATTAGTAGAGACATGTATAAATGAGAATTTGTGTTGATGAGGCTTAAGTAAGAGGTAACCATTGTTGCATGTTATAGCGAAAGGATATTTCACATTTCATTTCATATGATGAGCTTCAGATGACTTGTGTAGTAGGTACCATAGCCTAATTTACTAGCGCATAGTGGTTGTGTTTCACTCTTATCCCTTCTCTGTGCAATAAGTTGCTTTGCTAATGTTAGATATACTCACATAGTCCTCTTATTACAAAGATGTAAGAATGCAGTATGTTACCTACACAAGTCATATTATTTGTTAAATTAGCCAGTATGACTGGTTTTATGTCTCCAAATCTTGAGCAGAAGACTCATATATAACAGGAGATAAGATCTAAGAACTTTTACTATTACTGTAGATAAATATATACAGTTGTGTAGATTATTATACAACTAATTCTTACGTTCATGTTTTTTATAATGGTATTTACAGAAATGTATTGTCTATTTTTGATCATTTTTTTTCCAATGGTACTCTCATGAGAAGTTCACTTAAAGTCATGACTGTTCCCTAACTATGTAAAAATAACTTAACCGTCCTAATTTTTTTTGAATTACTTGATAGTCTTATGAGAGACCACTACTTTGAAGAGAGTGGAAATTGTCTAATTGATACCATTAATTATGTTATTAGGACACTGGAATAACAAATAAAGCCCCAGTCTTCACACAGTAGATAGCTTTTACTTTTTAAAACAAATCTTTATATACTTACTTATGAGAACAATATCTGTTATATTCACAAATTATCCTTCTAAAATGTGTACACATTACTAGTAATATTTCTTAATATCATACACAAACTTCTTATATATGATCTATTTGGTTAACAGATCAGTGTAAAAAATGTCCATTACAGTTTTATGTAAAAATATTCTAAACATTTGTATTTGAATAGTGTGAAGGACTGAAAAACCAGCAACAAATAAATCAATTAGTGATTTTAATTCCTGGATCTGCTAATTGGAAAGAGTTAGGATGGTACATTTATTTATTTATTTATTTGTTTGTTTGTTTGTTTGTTTGGCTTGTATGCCGCCCATCTCCCCCACGGGTGACTCTGGGCAGCTCACAATAAAAAAGAAGAAATACAATTCTCTCCAAGATGGCTAAAAACTATAAAAGTCTCTCTAATGGTAAAGAGGATGCTCAGGTATATGTACTGGAAATTAAATGGGCATATATCAGGGATAGGTAGCAAGTTGTTCGTGCGCATTAGCACAATCAATTGGAGTTCGGCATTTTAGAATCTGTGTTAATAAATGCCCACAGATACTTACTTTTGTGCCAACAGATTCACTGCCCAATCTATTATGTTAAAAGATTCCCTGGAAGGGAGGGAGGGAGGAGCAAAGCAAAGTAAAGCACCAATCTCAAGCATCAGTTTTATTTTTAGCAATGCTTTTGGGTTCCAAAACATCCTAGGGGACTACCTCTCCTGGAATACTTTGATTTTTCCCCCCTTTGTAACTGGCCGTGACAGTTTTATGAATCTGCAGGTCTCTTATGGCAGCTGTTTTCGGATTGTAACCACGGTGTGTTCTCAAAACTATGCATAAGAACGTACAATCCTAAACCATCACAAAAAATATATTCCTTTGCCATCTGTAGCAAAATACAATGTTTCTACTAGAGTAGGTACCAAAATAGAGTGCAGCAAAGGGACGTGAGATGCATCCTTTGATCTGTTGAATTCAGGTCTTTTTTGTTACTTGAGAGGGCTCAATATCAAGTTCCTCAACTAGTTTCTCTCAGTGAAATCAGTGGAAAAGAGGAAAAAAACTGAAATGACAACCATGAAGAAGGTCCGTCAACCCTATCCCCTCAGCAGAGTAGCAATCAGCAGAGTTTTACAAACAATCTTCTTCCCTTCTATCACATTTAGAATTGCTCGGCTCACTGCAATGAATCATATTTTGATCATAAACTAGTTGACTATAGAGGCAGTATGGTCACCAAATCATGTGCTATCACAACTAGAGATCCAGGAATATTTGTAAATTTCTACAGTTTAATCATTGCCAATAAATGCCATCCTATTTATATACATGTCCATTTATCAAATACACTTGCAATTTATTACATTATGTTTGTTGGTCATTCACCATATCATTGTGTAGTAGAAGCAATTCACAATTTGTTCTGAATTTGGATAAATTTAAAGCAGTGGTCACTCAAGCACACTACTGCAGGCCCCAAGATTTCTTGCCTATGGATCTTTGTACAAAAAGTCCAGCCTGAAGACAAAAGTAGTTTGAATTGACTAGCCATGCTTAACTCCAAATATGTGGTTTTAGTTTATGTTAAAAAGCAAGATATTCTTCTATTGCCTACTGATGTCCATATTTATTTCTCCATCATTTGAAATCCAGTTGTCCTAAGTCAGATTCTTAATCCTTATAATGTGACCTCATTTTCATGTTCAACATTTGTTGGGTGGCTCTGAGATCAGTGTGGTTGTTGTTTGTCTGTGATCTAGTGCTGCTTCCTGAACGCATGTGTCCCTTCCCTTCACAGCCTATTCAACACCCAGCACCTCCCCTGCAAACCGATTCGTCAGTGTTGGACCACGGGATCCAAGCTTTGTAAATATCCCTCAACAGACACAGGTGGGACGCTTTCAACTTCTGCTCTGTTTGCCATGCTGCTTGTTAACTCTTTGGTGTACTTTAGTGTTGCTTTGGCAAGTGATTTGTGTCTCTCCATCAGTCAGTTCATCTTCACAGTCTGAATAACAAGTGAAACGTCACTTCTGGTATTTGTTTGTTTTTGTTTTGGGAAATTCTCATGGCAATGGTAGTTTTTCCACAGATAGTTATTTCCTCTTTTTCTTTTCGCAACAATCTTCTGCTGTAAAAATAGTCGAAAGGCTACTTTCAGTTCAGAATATTTTTCATGTTTCATTCTATACACTGACATCACATGACATTATACAAACATTGTAAGACATGCTATGCCCTCTGCTTTATTTGCATTTCATGTAACTGCAAGTAGAAAATCCCAATCCTATTTTGTCAATTAGCTACTGTATTTACCAGTTCATTCAAATCTATAACTATATTTCCTTATGATAAGTTTAAAAGAAAAGTCTCCTTTGAGTCAACCTTGACACCTGCTAAGACAACTTGGCAACAGTCCCTGGATTTTCTGCTGGTCTCCCAGATATTAACAGGGTCTGATCCTGCTTTGCTTTCTTTGACTATAGCCAAGGTCAGACATAGTTACTTTGGGAATATGTCCAAATCAGTGGAACTTAATTTGTTCATATGCTTGATATATTCAGATTGCAAGTTTGTCCATTCAGTTGATCTCCAATCAGGATTGATAATACTCAGGGCAGTTGCTAAAGGCTTGATCACTATGTGGATCAAGAATATATTGAATGACATAGAGCAAAGGATCCAGAATGAGATTATCTTCTTACACTGCATGCTTGAGACACATGATTTCTCCACTGCAGACAAAAGTTTGCATTTTCAAACAAATCATCCACATTATATCTGCTGCTAGTTTGTTCAGTGGTTTTTAAAAAGAACAAAAACAGCTTCTTGTAAATACATCCAACCTGAAGAGTGGTTTCTGATATTTTCTAATATAGCCCAAACAAGAGTAATGTTTGACCACTGTATGGAATTGTAAAAGCTACAGTATATTATGAAGTGCCTATTCTCAAATGAGACTAGTATCTTCAATAAGAATGACACCTAATTAAATATTGAATGCAAATAGCCTGCTGTGTAGTTTGCCATGTTGATATTTAGCTCACAAGGGGAGTAAAAAGTCTCATAGAAGGCAAATACTTCTGAACTGACTGAAACCATCCTTTTTTGGTCCATTCAGCTGATGCAGGTAATATACTGATTATTCTGATTCCATTAGCAGTTTGATAATGCAGTTCTAGTTGAAGTTACTTTTGAGCAGATACCTTTCGCCTTGCATTATTAGTCTGTTTAAGAAACATATACCTGAAAGTGTGTGTGTCTGTCCAGTACATAAACACATTTTGTTAATTAAATGTTTACTGTCCTGATCCTACCAAATTCTTTGCTCACGTATTTTGGACTACAGCCTTTGGTGTTCCACTCAAATGCCAAGTGCAGCCTCCATCTGTAAAAAGGTTGTGTGTCCTTGGCTTAAGTAATTTTGTTCTAGATCAGCCACAGCCCCTGACCTGCTTTATCACAAAGAAAAAGCTCCAACTGGAACTAAAGGAAGCAATACCTATATGTGTATGAGAAAGGTTGAATGGATGCTATTAAACTCAATCAAAGCAAGGGGCAGAGTTAAAGCCTTTCTAAATGACCTCACATTCTAGGGTCTTTATCTTTTTTGCTAGTGTACATTAGCAATAACTCCAAGACAAACACTGCTTTTGACTTTAATTCAGAATTGATAATATGGAAGTAAAGTTAAACTTACTTTATTTTCCATCTCTCAAGAGAAGTTCAGTTAAATTTCTTGATAATATTCAGTGCGCTATTGATAACAAATCATAGAGAGAGACTATTGGAATATGCATTAAGTTCTACAAATGGGGGAAAAGAGAAATCCCCAACATAGGAATAATATCCTTCTTAGCTAACAGAACGTACTTCCTTCAGAAAATATAAGATTGAAAAAATTGCTCAAAGATTGATTGGTAGCATCAAATGGAACACATTAAAAAAAAAAAAATCCTGAACACTATCCTGAGTTCAACCAACATTAATCTGACCTCACTGATGTTAGAATAATGGTTTTGAGTTAGGAAACTGAGCAAACTGCAATTTATCTCTTTTCATCAAAGACATGTTAAAGTGCGTGTTTTTCAAACCGTTTCAAATTTCTAAAGTCAGTTAAGAAACAGTTGTTGGTAGTTTTGTTAGCAGTAAATTTGAGCCAAACCTTTAAAAATGTTAAGGTGATAACTACATTAACCATACATCCCTTATTATAAAATATAGTCCTTTATTTCAGAAAGCTGTCTTTAGATTTATTTATTTTTCAAAAACTCACTTTTGGCCTTTATTTTGGCCATTTAACTTTTACCATGCAAATGGTAGCACTTAATGCACAGCCTTCCACATTCATGTGACAAATATGGAAATTGAATTGTCTTTTTAAAATAAATTTACATACAGTGATTTAGATATTTTTATTAAAATATGCATTTTGGTAAAGCTTTTCTTGGTTTTGTTCTTGGATTTTCCTTTGTAAAGCAAAGTTATAAACAATTAAATTTGTTTATCCTTATGAACCTCTTTCAGATTTGCCCCTTTTTCAGGCTTGTCCTTTATTTTTTCCAAGAAAATATGGTCACTTAATATTCCATAATTGTGAAGGAAGAAAAGAATCAATCGTTTTATTTATAACGTTTTCCTGGTTATGGTGCAGCATTTTAAAAGTCAAGAGCAGGAAATCCTGGTTTTATTTGGCAGCTATAATTTTTAAATAATTAAGCATCAGGACTTATGGCATAATGTAACTGTTTTCCTCTATAAAATTGAAAGGCAGGTCATAGATCAAATAACATGGAGATGTTACTGCAAGAGTATGATGCAAACAACAACACCCTTTCTATATTGCAACTTGCACACATCCAACAGAGACTAGCACTTCTGAAACATTTATTTCTCCATAGTTGAGCTAAAATGGTTCCTTCACATCCGCTAACATCTCATTCACCCATGTCATCTGTATATTGGGAGAAGTTCTGAAGAGAAAAGCCTCTCATGCAAATTTACATAAGTTATCTCCTTGAGCCAGAAACCAACTAACTTTCTGTAATGAGCAAAGAATGTATAGATAGTTGTCCACAGGAGAAAAGACAATATGGAGGAGTATATGCCGTCCATAAAATATTCTGTCTCCATATAACATTAATTATGTGGAGAAACAAAGCTGAATATTGAATTGATAGGTCATTCATTGTTGTGATGGCCACATTGAACAAATGCTCAGCCCGTTGTGGAGAGTTGCTTGTGTATAATGGCTCATTATTGAGTTATGGATCTTGTCATCAACTACTGGATAATATACTGAAAAATCTCTCCTACTTTAGGGAATATCACCTTTCCTAGTCTAGTGAATATTGCCAGATCTGAAATAGAGGCTGCTCCACAGGAACAAATTGCAACAAGATTCAATGTTTTGCAGTCATACGTCATGCAGCTAATTGCCACAGTTTGCTTATGAAAACTGGGCTTAATTGTGTACCTTTCAGTTTTGTTCCACAAAACAGTCAATACATCTCTGAGCCTGTTATAGGGTGCAGCATATTTTTATGGAGATACTGTCACTCACCTGCTGCAGATAAATGTTTTTTTCTTACTGGCTCGTGGTGATTGGATGCAATAGATAAGAATGGTCAATTTGAGAAAAGAGGCAATCAGTAGTCACACAAGAGCAGCAATGAACTAGAATATAGAATACAGAAAGCGGCAATATCATAAGATATTCACAAATCTTGTGAGCCTGCCCTCAGTGATGAAGTCAATACTTTTCACAACTCGGATTGAGAGCACTGTTGACTTTTGAAGTGATTTCTCCATTTGCAGTCTTCAGTAAGGACTCTCCTTTATAGCTGCATAGATAGAAGTGGTTAAACTGTGTTGGATTTCAAGCCTTTGCATCGAACAAGGTCACAGAAAGTACATCAGCAACTCAGGGAATATTTTAACTCTTTGATGCCTGTTCCCATCAAGTTAAGTAGCAGAAAGCAGCTTGCATTTCTGTTCTCCTGTAGTTCAAGCTCCCTTGAAGTACCTCTAATTCAAAGGATGAACAAGAAGAGATTTCACTTACTTTTACATTTAAGCCATGCTATTTCTTTTGCAGCCTAAGGAACTCTATTAATATTGGGAGGAATTTTAAAGCAAGCTGTTTAAAGCTACAGCTCTGAGGCCAGATATACAATAGTTTATAAATCCTATGCAAATTTATGTAAAAGTAAGTCTCAATGAACTCAATTCTGTTTCTGGACAAGTAAAACTTGTTCATAATTCCATAGAGTTAATTCCCAGGAAGTGTTTCAAATGCTTTTATTTTCATTTTTTTGTTATTTGCTTGAGCAGCAGTCAAAAGAATCTTTATCTTCTTTGGCCTGGTCTCAACAATTTCACTATAAAGTTACCTTTAAAGAACACAGAACAGGATATTTGAACCTTAGGCTGCAATCCTAGTCAGCTTAAAGTAACAAAAATATGAACATGATAGTAAACACAATTGGATAGATGGTTTGGGTACAATTCATTCTAAAATGAATGCCATTTGGGCTAATTTATTATTTTTATATATTTATATATATATTTAATTCTAGAACTTAAAGACAAAAATAGTAGGTGCTATTTGTGTTCATGTTTGTATTCTTAAGAACAAAATCATGTTTATAATTGTTAAACAATTGAAAATGACATTTTATTAGTATCTTAAAATCTGGACATTTGAAGTTAAAATTTTATTTTCCTTCTTACCACATACTTTGTACAATGATGGTTTACAGTGATCTTCCCCAATCTTGCCCCCTTGCAGATGTGTTTATCTACAGCTTCCATGATTTTCAGCCTATAAAGTCAGTGGTGTTTTCTGATGGGAATGGTAGTCCAACATATCTGCTGGAAATCTCTCTAGG